CCCCACCCCTCCCAAGTCAGGCAAGCTCACTGCAGACTTCAGCCAATTGCAAGCTACTGAAGTTTGCTGAATTCATGTTTAAGAGAGATTGGAAAGCAGAAATGTGAAAAGGCCCCAGACACAGGTCACCTCCCAAGCATAAGTGCAAGCACTCTTCCCTGTCCTGTTCCCTCCCTTCACTTGCCCACTGTGAGCCATACTGATCTGGGTGCTCACTCCTGTCCTCTGGTGTTGGAGCCACAGCACTCCACACAATTGTGACGGGGTTCTCAATCGATGACATTTGGGAACTGTTCAATTGTTATGGGTGTCCACACCCTGAGTCTCAACCTCCTCATATATAACGGAGCAAGGATAACGTCCGAGCAGAAGCCAACTTAGGTACAGCAGAGACCTCATGACTTTTTACTGCAACGACGTGGAGCAGAAGTTGGAGGGGAGATGATTTGGAGGGAAACACCAGAAAACTTCAAGTACTTGGGGACTGTGCAACAGCTCTGAGCACACAATGCACGGCATAGCTGCAGGCCGCAGCAATGAATACAGCGCATTTAAACAAAGATCCAGTTCCTGTAGTCCAAATGGAGTCCCTTTATTATTGCACAGAGCCGCTTGCTAATAAGGAGACAGGAACCTTTTCTCAGCAAGGCCACTATTTTATAGCTTTCCTGCAGGGCATCCCTTTGACGGGCTTTCTGACAGGGATCCAGCCTCTCAGTAAATAGACAGCCACCTCCTCAAGTGTTACAAGCCCCTGACACCTAGCAGGTGTCAAGGGCCAGCCGGAGCTGACTGATGTGCTCTGCTCAGTGTCCCCACTTGGAGGATTTGTTATTAACCTTTGACACACACTCTCATCCCTGTTTTCACATGTGTTGTCCCAAAAAATCAGCTGCTGTGCCCCCAGCAGCCTCCCGAATTAAGGGAGGCTTAAAATTTACCTGGTGGACCCACGCACACAATTCCCTTGGCACAACGAACGGGCCCTTGGCACATCAAACAGGCCCCATTCAGTATGTCTGACCCCAGACTCAATCGCAGCAGCTTGTGCAGCGCCTGAGAAAATACACCATGAGCGGAGAGTGAGGCCTGCCTTGATTCCCAGCCTCCCAAACTCCTGCAGGTCTTAACCCACTTTTAAACCAGAGAATTTAGTCTCAGGCCCTGTGGGACAAGGGAGGCCCCACGGGACAAGGGAGGCATGCTCAGCATGCCCGCCAAAATGCCCTGTGAGGCAGCACCCAGTGGGGCATGCGGGGCACAAGCCCTGAGTGCGGGAATGGTGGCCTCAAATCTAGAAGGTGCTTTCGAAATGAAGAACTGCCAGAGCAAAGCAAGGGCTGCCACAAGCTCAGCAGCATCCTCGGTTTCTCTGTCTGAAATGTCTTTCTTTGTCTCCCTCTAATATGACCAGAACTGTTGAGTAGTGTATCTGGTCCAGTTGCAGATAAATGCTGCAAATTTTGCAATTCAAACCCCTTGCCCCCAACTCCACCATCCCCATTCAACTACATCATTCCCCAAAAGGTGAACAAGCAAAGAAACAACACTGCCAAGTGCCAGTCTGCAGGGGTTGAATGCAGTACCATTTTTCATAGAGTTTATAGACATTAGGGCTGGACAGGACCTCCCAAGATCATCAAGTCCAGCACCCTGCCCAAGGGGCAGGAAGTCAGCTGGGGTCAGATCACCCCAGCAAGTTAAGGATCCAAACGTTTCTTTTACAATTACATTGAAAATGATCAATGCAAAAGTTGCAACCTTTGTGGTCATCATGCAGGCCATAACTTGCTGGAAGCACCCTGAAAGGCACCAATGTGTCAAAACCCCTGGTGCACGGGTGCCTTTCAGGATTCTTACAGCAAGTTATGGCCTGAACTATGACCACAAAGGTTGAAACTTTTGCATCAATTATTTTCAATGTAAAAGAAAAATTGTTCTGCATTCAGACCCTGCAGACTGCCACTTGGCAGGGTTTTTTTCTTTGCTTGTCCATCTTTCAGGGAACGAGGTAGTTGAATGGGGATAGTGGAGTTGGGGGCAAGGGGTTTGAATTGCAGAACTTGCAGCATTTGTCTGCAATCAAAGCAAATACACTGCTCAAAAGGTCTGGTCACATTACAGAGACAAAGAAAGACATTTCAGAGAAACCAAGAATGCCACTAAGTTTGTGGCAACCCTTGCTTTGCTCTGGCAGTTAATTTCTAAAGCACCTTCTGGATTTGAGACCAGAGAGTGATGCTCATTATTGATGTCAATAATGCTCAATTATTGATGTTCAATGCTCTATTTCTTTTACTCATCCAAGATTAAGACACTTGATGGGTTTTAACACTTTAGTATTTATACCTCCACCACAGACCACGGTACCCCTCAAAAGTTTTTGAAAGAATATCTTCACAATCAAATGATTGTACCTCTTAGTACAGACTATGTAGTTTAAGGGAAACAGGATAAGGTAACAAATATGAGTTTCCTGATTACATGCAGAATTATTAATAGTCACCACAAACCCTGAATAAAAATGTATCCTGTAATCTACAATCAAGTCAAGAAGCTTCTCAGGTGAGGTAGTTCAAAGAACTAGTCAAATCAACCCCAGGTACGACATACGTGGTGCAGCATCTGCTCAACGTCACACACATCCCTTACTTTGAGACTTCTGGCACACACAAATATCAAATGACAGGTAAAGGAAGGTGCTTAAAAGGAATTCTCCATTTTTCTACTCTCTGACAATTTAAAACAAACTCATACTGTAGACAGATAAATATATGACAGACTCTTAGAAGTCTCACCACACTTATCTATCCCATTAGGTACTGGTTACCATGCAAGACTAGCTATCCCACTGACTCCTCTACCAGCTCTGATAATGCACCCTGCACCTTCACCGCTCCCCAGGTGGAATCCCAAACTTCTCTCATTCTTAGTGTGGGTCCCCAGGCTACAATACGCTATGCACCAACTGCAGCTGCTCTTCTGCTTTGCATGCATTTGGCTCCCTTTAGTTCTTGTCTTCCAGAGCTGTGATCTATGATGAACACAGTGACCCCAAACAACTTTCATGCAACCAAGTAGAATTTAAAAGGCACCCGCCTTTGCAAGAGAAAAAAAAGTGAAAGTTTGTAGGCATGTGTACATAGGCGTATCTATGTGGGATGATATAGTTGGCGGTGGTCCTGCTTTGAGCAGGGGTTGGACTAGATGACCTCCTAAGGTCCCTTCTAACCCTCATTTTCTATAATTCTATCTTACCTCAGACTTTACAACCTATGTAGTCTGGCCATGGGACTGATGCATAAGCATCTTTATCTCAGTTCCTCCCTGAACCACCCAACTCCATGAGCAACCATGTATGACATTAACCCAGCCAGTCCTTTGATTTCCTCCTTCCTTACAGAGGCTGAGACATTCATGGAGAAACCTATTTAGCAAGCCCAAGATGTAGCCAGCACCTCATACAACTCAAATTGGTGAAACTGTCCATCAGGTATTTGTGAGAAGGACATATCCAGATTCATCTGTCCCACCTATGGTCCATTTCCTGACACTGAATCAATATGATATATTCATACAGGAAACAACATAATCACCTAATCAAGAAATACATTCCTGCATTTGTGCAGGGGACTAGACTGGATGACACTTGAGGTCTCTTCCAACCCAATGAATCTAAAATACATGCTTCATAACTTACTACAGGCATCTCCAGTCAACATTACTGGAGGTGCCTGAGTCAACATGACTAGGAATGTCAAAAGTAAAACAGGCAGAAGGCATGGTAGATATGCCCCTTATCAACTAAATAAATCACATATGCTATCATCTAGATCAACCCCTTATCAACCCCTTATCAACTAGATAAATCATATGCTAGATGTCACATATGCTATCAACTTTAACAATATGGAGATGTGGGGAGGCTGTAGCCCTGGAGTTCAAGAAAACATACTAAGTACAGAAAACATGTCCTGATGGATGATTCCCTACATCTTGCTTCCCCCTAGCAGAGCGGGAAGGGCCATGGGGAGGAAGAAAAGAAGACAACAATTCATAGGAGGCAGTATGGGAGAAAGGAAGGAGAACCCCAGGTCAGTACATCCCATTTTGTCTGCAGTGGAAGCAACATTGCAGTACACAAAACCAGATGGGTGTGAACAGGCCCATTCCTCTCACTGGGATGTTATCAGATGGAAGTGAATATCCCAGACAGGAGCCAGGCCTAAAAAAGCTCTGTGAGAGGTGAGAACTGCTCAAGCATGTAAGCCAACTCTTTAATTTCATTTATGGCCTTGAGTTTGTGCACCTCCCAAAAATGTAAAGGAGCCTTTCAGAAAAGTCATCTTCTCAAAAACCACTAGTCCATTTTGACACATTCCAGAAATACCCTCCAGCCCTTCAATGTGTTTAGAACAGGACAGTTAGAGACTGCACTTTACCACTAGCCTGTCCCCCCACTACCGTGTGTTCAGTACACACCATGTTAACCCAGGGGAAGAATAGGAAGCATGCCAGTGTCTCCTCAGGCTCTGAACTTTCTTTTCTAGTGTCCAGTGAGTGCAAAGCTCACAAGAAGACTCAAGTGGAGAAGAGACTGATTCCCCAAAGGGCTCTGGCTGAATCTCCCTTTCCTCTTCAGTGAGGGACTCATCATATGTGTGGCAATAATTACTAACACTGAGGTTGCTGCGGAGGTTTTGCATCAGAGCAAGAGTTGCATGGAAACTGGATGGCATGTGAGTGCTGTTAATGGAAAACTCGTACCTTCAAGGCATTTATTCCCTTCTTGTTCGCCTCTAAATGTGAAAATAACCCTCCCACCTGCACCCAGGCTCCCCAGCAACAACACAACTTTATTCCTCTACCCATCTCCATCACCCACCATCAAGTGTCCCAGGGCTCACCTCCAGCCAGCCATAGATCACATCCCTCGATGACAGAATGAAGCACAACCAGGAAAATAGGGGGGAAATTCCCCTTGTGACTGTCTATCCCAGTGAGGATCAACCTTTTTCTTAGGTGTGTCACAAACTAACCCTACACCCTCCTCCAAGTGCCACTCCAGTCCCCCTTGCCCTGTCCAATCTGCTGCTCTGCTTTCTGTTGCCTGCCCTGTGTCTCCTGTCTGATCTGATGCTTTGCTTTCTGTTCCCTGCCTAATATGCTGCTGTGCTGCCTGCCCCCTCCCCAATCTGCCATGTGCTGTACACAGAGGCCACCCATGCCATCATCAGCAATCCCTCAATTTGAGGATAATCTCTACCACAGCTCATTCACATGTCTTGATGTAACTTAAGAGTCCAGTCCTTGAGCCACAGATCCATCCACAGTAATTGTAGGTCTTTCTGTAGGGGAGAGTAGGCTGTAGGCTGGGATTCCTCTCCTTTTTCCGTCCTCTGTTCTCTCTTCTTTGCTTCAAGGGCAAGATGCTTTACTTCAAAATGGACTGCTGCTTGGTCAAAGTTGCAGTACAACTGGAGTCAGTTAGCAGCCAGCTTCTCCCAGCTCTTGATGTTAGTGTCTGTTTTTTTGAGGCCTGCCTTCAATATGTCCTCATAATGTTTCCAAATTTCAGCCCATAAGCAAGCTGGAAGTAAAGCACTTGGTTTGGGAGTCAAGAGTCAAGCATCCACACACAATGTCTGGTCCAGCAAACTTGGTGCTTGAGGATCACTGACTTAATGCTGGTAACATTGGCTTAGCAAAGATGCAGTCATTTGTGAAGTGATCTTTCTACTTGATGTGGAGGATTTTCCAGAGGCAATTGCCTCTTCAAGCTCTTGAGATGACAGTAGGTCACCCACATTTCATATCAATAAAGGAGAAGGGAGTTAATGCCAGTGCTGCTTGTGGCATGCATGCCACCATTTGGTCACCCTGGTCTACCCCATGTGGATTCTCTGGTGCCTGATAAGATGTGAGCTCTGACGGAAACTTTTCCCACAGTTTAGGCATCTGTAGGGCTTCTCCCCCGTGTGGGTTCTCTGGTGCGTGAGAAGAAGTGACTTGGACTGGAAGCTTTTCCCGCACTCACTACACTTGCAGGGCCTCTCCTGCATGTGGAATCGCTGGTGCTTGACCAGGGCTGAGTTCACTCGGAAGCGCTTCCCGCAGTCAGGACATTTATGGGGCCTGTCGTCCGTGTGGATTCTCTGGTGTCTCCGAAGGGCTGAGCTGTCCGTGAAGCGTGTCCCGCACTCAGGGCACTTGAAGGGTCTCTCCCCTGTGTGGATCCTTTGATGTTTCATGAGGGCTGAGCTGTGACTGAAGCTCTTTCCACAGTCAGGACATTTGTAGGGTTTCTCTCCTGTGTGCAGGGTCTTGTGCTTGATGAACGCTGAGCTGTCCCCGTAGCTCTTCCCGCAGTCAGGGCACTTGTAAGGTCTCTCTCCTGTGTGGCTCCTCTGATGCTTAATGAGGCCTGAGCTGTCACTGAAGATCTTCCCACAGCTGGGGCATGTGTAAGGCTTCTCCCCAGTGTGTGTTCTCCTGTGAACCATCAGAGCAGAGTTTACACTGAAGCTTTTCCCACAGTCAGCGCATTTATGAGGTCCTTCCCCTGTGTGGATTCCCTGATGGGTAACAAGGGCAGGCTTCTGCTTGAAGCCCTTCCCACACTCCAGGCACTGGTAGGGTCTCTCCCCTGTGTGGACTCTCTGGTGTTTAACCAGGGCTGAGTTCATGCCAAAGCCCTTTCCACAGTCGGGGCATTTAAAGGGCCTGTCCCCGGTGTGGACTCTCTGGTGGGCTGTGAGGTCCGAACTGCGAATGAAGCTTTTCCCACAGTCGTGGCACACATACGGCTTCTCTCCAGTGTGGATCCGTCGATGCGTGGTCAGAACCGACCGCCGATTGAAGCTCTTCCCACAGTCGCTGCATTTAAAGGGCCGCTCTGCCGTGTGGATGGTCTGGTGTTTGATCAGGGCTGAGCTCACCCCAAAGCTCTTCCCGCAGTCAGGGCATTTGTAGGGTTTATCAGCGGTGTGGGTCCGCTCGTGGGTGAGGAGGTAGGAACTCACCCTGAAGCTCTTCTCACACTTGGGGCACTGGTAGGGTTTCTCGGAGGTGTGGATCTTGCGGTGGGTGCTGAGGGTGGAGCTCAGGCGGAAGCTCTTCCCGCAGTCAGGGCACGTGTAGGGTCTTTCTCCTGTGTGGATCCTCTGATGCCGGGTGAGGTGCGAGCTCAGACCAAAACTCTTCCCACAGTCGGGGCACTTGTAGGGTTTCTCCCCTGTGTGGATCCTTTGGTGGACAATGAGGTCAGAGCTCACACTGAACCTCTGCCCACATTCGCTGCAGGTATAGGGCCTCTCTCCCGTGTGGATTCTCTTGTGTTTAATAAAGGCTGAGCTGTCACTGAAACTCTTCCCACAGTCCAGGCATTTATACGGTCGCTCGCCTGTGTGGCTTCTTTGATGCTTAATAAGGGTTGACCTCACACTGAAGCTCTTCTTGCACTCGGGGCAGCTATAGGGTCTCTCCCCCGTGTGGATCCTCTGGTGGGTTACAAGGATTGACCTCCGGTTGAAGCACTTCTCACACTGAGGACATTTAAAAGGTCTCTCTCCAGTGTGGATTCTTTGATGCTTGGTCAGGGCTGACCTCAGGCTGAAACATTTCATGCAGCTGGGGCATTTATGGGGTTTCTCTGGGAGGTCTGAGCTCACACTGAAGCTCTGTCCATCATCAGTGCAGTTATAGGGTTTCTCTGATGTTGGGATTTTCTGATGAGCTTTGGTATCTTTAGCTAAGTAAGTGGCAACGGTACTGCCTTCTGGTTCTTCTTTGGGGATTTCTTCCTGCCCTTCTGGTTTGCATCCATTCTCATGAGCCACCTCCTGCTCAGGGTCCTGGGGAGCATTTCCATCAGATCTGTACAATAAGATCCCATATGGTTTTGCTTCTGGTAAACAAGTCCCCTCTTTATCATTTGCCATCCTGTCATCTGCTGAAATAGAGAGGAAAAATCCAGACCCAAGTTATTCCCTGTGTTGGGTAGTAAAGAATCCTTGGAAAAGGGGAATGACAGAAATGAAGAGATAATGAGAAATAATAAAATTATTTGAAATTAGGGGCCAAATCCATCAAGGCAGAAGCACCAGGTCTGCTTCCTCATATCGCCTAATCACTTGGGAATGGAAGGAGGAGTCAGTCAGCATGGGAGGGAAGCCAGGAGTGACACCTGCCCTGAGGATATGAGTCCAGATGGAGGAAACCCTGCCATGAGTGAGACAAGACAGAACTGGAAGGAACTCATGCAAATCCCAGCTGTTTCCTTCACTCACCCTGGTTTCTGGGTTGGTTTAATAGACTCCTCACCTCTACAGGTATCTCTCAGGCTTTGCTTTTGCTTTAAATCCAAGGCTCTCAGCTCCTCCTCTTGTTCCATCAGGGAGATCTGAAGTAGAAATAACCCTGGGTTACATAGGATGTGGGCTCACGGTGCCCTGGGGGGATTTATACACTCAAGTATCCAGGAGTGACTTTTACTGATGTTTTAGTGTAGCGGTTTTCAATCTTTTTCATTTGCAGATACCTAAAACATTTCAAATGGAGATGCGGACCCCTTTGAATTATATTGACTGATCATAGTCATCTTTCGTGGACCCCTTAGACATAGTCTGCGGACCCCCAGGGGAGCAGACCACAGATTGAAAACCACTGTTTTAGTGTAAAACAGGAATGTCATCTCTGAAAGAGAAGAGTTGAACCCAGACTGGTGCCTTTCCACTGAGGGGAAATGGATCATTAATTCCTTGTGCTGTCACAGAGTGGTGCCATGCCAGGCTCAGGGCAGGCTGCTGGCTGAGTGCCTGCCTAGTGAAGGCAGCAGTCCAGAGAGCATCCAGGAGACCTGCCAATTGGCATCTCACCAGTGGGTTCCTGGGTCTCAAACAGCAGCAGTGCCAGGAGACTGCCATCCTCAACTTCCCCCTCCTTGAAAGTGTCACCAAGCTAGAGTTTTCAACTTAAGCAGCCGCAGAAGAAAGCAAAGCCTGTGCATCTTGCTGGATTTATGTAGGAATCCACGTTCCTACTGCTCTGTGTTCCCCAGTCTCAGAAAATAAATATCATGCTGAGCTTTTTCACACATGGAGGGTGTCCACAGTGACACTCACAACCAACCAACAGTTAGGCTGGGTTTTTGGTTCAGCCTCTTGCCCTTATGCCTATTCTGATTGGTTCCCATCAACCTTGGGGAACTCCAGTGAGCCTGAAAACTATCCTGGTCGGTGGAGGCAGAAGGATAATAGGGCAAGTTGCAAGATGGGTCCCAAGACCCTCTTCCAGAAGGGTCATCTTCCCACTGAAATTTTCCCTAATTAGATGATCCCTACTCATAGGGAAGTCCTACAACCCTGAAACCCACACTGATTTATAGGGCAGCAGGGGCAGTTTTTAGAGAGGTCACATGCCACCCCGGTCCCTAGTCACCATGACTTCTACTGACCCTGGTAAAAATACCACCATAGGGGCAAGTTCTAGGTACCAGTGGGTACAGCTCTGTTGACAGGGGAAAAAATGAGGAGGTCCTAAGAAGGTGGGATGGGGGACACATGGAGCCCCTTCTCTGACTGGCAGAGCCACTCTTTCAAACACCTCTCAGAAGTGAAGACATCACAGAAGTGATCATTCTTGTCTTTCTATGTAACCATAATCTCAGCTCAACTGTGTCTTCTTCCCAACAGAGATTAGTGAAGCAGTTCCCCAAATCTGCCTCTGATGGCTTGTCCCACCAGGTGAATGTGTTGACAGCTGGAACAGTTTATCAACCAGGCAGACAGAGGAGGAGACCAGTCATGAGGGTGGGGAATGGGGAAGTTCACAGAGCCCTAAGCACGTGGGACACACACAGAGACACAGATGTAGGGAAGAGAACAGCAGCAACAGAGGGGGCTCAGCCAGTGACACAATGGGAACATGGGGGGGGTGGCACAGAGGATGCCAAGAGCCCCTGGTGCAGGCCATGAGATAACCCAAAAAAGCCATGACTTGTGCTTCCAGCTCACATCGTTCTAAACTCTAAGCTGTACATTTAGGACAAGACTTCTATATAGTTTGACACATGCGCCCTCATATGGACAGTACTAGTCTACTACAGAAGAGTGGCTTTTTGCAGTTTGTTTCATTAGGAAGGGCTTAAACAAAGCACCGCATGTACCAGAATCCATGTGGCCACACTGGAGTTTCACTGAGAGAACTACGCTCACTCGGACAACTGGTAAAACTTCCTACTGCAGACAAGCTCTAAGGTGCTGGGGAGAAGGAAACAAAATGATGGTTGAGAAAGGTAGATCTCCCTGGTGGACTGAAGGAAATGGCAGAAGTTTGGAAAACAAAGAAATCAGCCAGTCTTGAAGCCACCTGGCAACACAGTAGGTACTTGGGATGTCAGGGGAAGAAAAGGAGCAATGATTTTTTTCCATTAAAACTGCAATTTGCACAGGCACAATAAAAATAAATGGGGAGGAAGGTGACCCACTCCATGCCTGCCCAGACCCCTTCCCTGGTGAAAATCACCTTGGATCTTGTGTACCAGGTGAAGAGCAGAGAGAGGAAAAGCCAAGCCCTGCCCCTGCACTGCTGGGGGAAGAAGCCACCCTCAGGCACAGTACAGAGCAACTCCTTCAAAGGTTTTCCATAGTAGTGGAAGCTGGAAGGGTTCAAATGCTCCAGCAGGTTGAGTTATACAGGGAGGAGCCTTGCGTCCAGACAAGAAATATTTCTCTGTCCCCAGGTCTGACTCCTGTTGCTGCGTGCTGTCTCTCTCCCCTCCCTACTGGCAGGGACACTCTGTTCCTAGTGCCTTGTGCGCTGCTAGCTGCATGGGAGCCCGCCAGTGCTACCAGGAGCCAGAGCCCCTGTGTGCCAGCGAAGGCAGCAGCTCTGGGACTCGCAGCCCCTGCGGAGCAGCAATGGGTACAGAGGGGCCATGTGTGCAGAGCCCCTGTGCTGCCCAGCCCAGCGCTTCCCTGAGGTCTCTCCCCATTACCTGGAGTCTCCGGCTCAGCAGCTGCTGTTGGCAGAGCCAGGGGCTGGGTCCAGCCACCGGAGAAAGGCTCCCCCCTGGGCTGGGCACCAAGGGGCTGCAGCGCAGTTCTCTCCCCAGCACTGGGGGCGCAGCTGCTGCACAGCCAGGCTCTGGGGTCACAATGGAGGAGGCAGCAGTGTCTGACCCAGGAAGGCCAACCCCCAATATCCCGAGCAGAGAGAGAGCAAGAGCAGCTTCCTCTGCCTTAGCAACAGCCAGGACCCCCTGGTGACGGTGGATGAGCTGACAGTACATGCAGCTTGGGCCGGCTCTGTGATGCAGACACTTCACAGAGACATCCCAGGGCACCTGGGCAAGCTGCTCTTTCTGCACCGTGGAGGGTGAGGCTCTGCGACAGTTCCCTGGCTGGCAGGAGACTCCAGGGGATGGGGACAGCCAGGAGGGAAAGCGCTGAGGGGTTGCGTCTACACGTGCACTTTAATGTGCATAGCTTATTTTAATGCACATTAAAGCATCATATCAAAGGGCATTTATACACATAGCTTTTTGTGCTGTGACGCACTAAAGCTCTGGCGTGTCAGAGCAGACTCGATTAATCTGCTCCTCATGTGAGTTGATACGCCCGGCGCTGTGTCGCATACATTTGTATAAATGGAAAAATGCACGTCTGCACTGGGAAAATGGCAGTGGTATGCTTTTGAACTAAAGCACCTTTGATGTGTTTTAGTTCAAAAGCACACCATCGCCATTTTCTCAGCACTGACATGCGTTTCGCCATTTATACAAATGCATGCAACACAGAACCAGGCACTTTCAAAAGAGCCCGGTGCTGCATCGCACACACGTCTAAGAATGCCCGATAGCGATGCTTTTTAATGCACACTGAAATAGGCTAATGTGTATTAAATGTCACTTAAAAGCAACATTCTCCATATGCCTGAAGAAGGGTGTTTGTGCCCGAAAGCTTGCAAAGAACAATTTTTCCAACTATTTAGTTGGTCTTATAAAATATATCACATTTACCCAAAGAACTTGTCTGCTTAAACAATGTTCACTTTAGTTAATGCACATTAAGCCAGGTTAATGTGCATTTTCCTAGTACCTCACAATGGAGGGTATTTATACACTTGCTCCAGGAGTGAGGGTAAGAGGCACTTTAATTAGAGTGGCTCCAAGAGCCTGTCTAATTAAAGTGCCCGGAGTGTCTCATGTACCAACGTCCCTGTGTTTCAAAATGACAGTAGGGACGCTTTATCTAAAGCTTGTCGAATGAGCATTGGATAAAGTACCCCCACCACCATTTTGAAGCCCAGGGAAAAATCCTGCGCATCAGAGCAGATTTGATTAATCATGTTTGCTCCACACACGAGCTGACGCGCATGGTGCTGCATTGCTTGCAGTTGTATAAGTGGCATAATGCACTTCAGCACAGAGAAAATGGTGGCAATGCACTTTTGAACTAAAACACCTTATATGTGTTTTAGTTCAAAAGTGGATCACTGCCACTTTCTGTGCACTGACACGCATTTAGCCGCTTATACAGCTACAAGTGACACAGTGTTGGGTGCTTTTCAAAGTGCCAGGCGCTGCAGTGCTTACATGTGTAAAAATGCTG